TCTCTAGTCAGTATCAGATCTCTACTTAGTATATACACAGTTAAGGGTATTAGTGATATATTACTTTCTCTGGTATTAGTGTTCTGTGAGTATCTATGGTATCAGATTCAGAAGAAAATATTTAATGTTTATTTTGTTTTTCTAAAAAATAGCTTATTAGATTTAAATTTTATGGGGAATATAATATGGAAACTAATTAAAGCAGAAATAATTATCATCATCATCAAACATCGTTTGCTTTCTAAGGTGTTGTAGTATTTTCATTCAATACTTTGTTTACTTACATTTGCCCGCGAAAATGTCTTCAAAGCAAAAAGCTGGTATATTAAAGTTAAGTGAAGATAAGTTTAAAAGGATAAGTTCGATAATTTCTGTTAATTACTGTTGGTGTTGTAATTACTGCCGCGTCTTATTCTGTAAATTGCATCTCAAGTTAGCTTGCATGATTTAATGCATTGTCATGAAAATATGAATCTTAAAGCAGAAGCTTAAGGTTTAACTTATGTTGAATTTAACAACTTAATGAATTTAACCTGATGCGTTTGAAACAGAATAAGGACGCGTAACAAGTTTGGTTGAAACTTAGCATTGGCAGCAAAATTGTATAATTTTTAGTGTTTTTTTAGTAGGTCCTAATAATATATCTAAAAAAAATTTCAGTAAAATGTTGCCTAATTTTTAATCAATGGTCAGTAACAAAGTTATAAAAATAATATTTCTTTTGAAGGCTGATATTCTAAAAAACCGGGAAATTTAATTTAAGTATATTTTTGATGTACTATGAACTAAGGTAGTGGTAGGTAGTTATGTTATTTTATTGCATGTATTTTCTATATATTGCGTGTATTGATATTATGTTACGTATATTTATATTGCACCTTTTGCCTAGTATTCATTGTTTTTTTTTCTTTACACCTGTGGTTTGCCTGGAAGAGATGCTATGTAGCAATAAGTCCGCCTAATTCAGCATATAATCTGCTTTTTGTTATGTTATTTTGTGGTCTACAATAAAGTATATTCATTCATTCATAGTGGTTTGAATGAGGGCTAATTATCTTACGCTCACCAGATGCCACTGCATTGAATTTATTTGTCAATCAGATGGTCACAGTGTTATAGTCATTGAAAGAATGCATTTAAAAAAAACTTTTAGATTCTAGTGTATATATATGTACTAAAAACAATCCCTTATTGTTGATAGTTATTTACACATTTTTAACTTATTCCTAAATTCTTTTATGATTGTCCATAGTTTGTATCCATTTTAATACAATGAATAAAAAAAACTAATATTACAATAAGAAACATTAATTTTTAAACTTTTATAACAATTTATATGTGGTAGAACCACATTGCAGCTACATTATAGTTGTAGCACGAACAGTGTTGGCCGGGTAGGACCATGCTCTCACAGGATACCAGTGTAAAATAGCAGCCTAATATTGCTGTGTTTCGTGGGGTGAGTGTAGAGATCCAAAGACCCCTTTTTTTACTGGAAACAAGGTATTCCATTTGGTCCTAAGGGGAGACAACACATATGCATTTTGATTCTTAATCGAGGATAAATGTATCTAAGGGCCACAATATCCACTTGCTATCAGGTGCACTGTGTGCTCGTTTGTCACCATTACTCTATAAAAAAAAATTTACTTTCTTCTAACAAAGTATCGGTCAAATATTTTACCTCATTCTAAAGAGGTGCCGCCCTGGTGTCAGTATAAGTCCTGGATGCCCTCATAAATTTGAATTTGAATAAAGACACTACAGGATAAAGTTATTCATCCAGCTATTATTCATATAGTTATCATCATGTTCAAATACACTTTGGACTTGGGCCACCAAAAAACAGTGCATGCAACTAATATTAAAAGAAGAAGCATTAATTTATAAACTTTTCTAATAATTTAACTTCTTTCTAATAAAGAATCCGTCAAATATTTTACCTCATTCTAAAGAAGTGCCGCACTGTCAGTAAAAGTGCAGATTGCCTTCATAGATTTGAATTTGAGTACAGAATTAAGTTATTCATCAAGTTATTATTAGTTATTATCATGGAGTATGCTAGGGTTGAATCTGAATGACAGTGTAAGAAATTGCATAATAAGAGGGAAAGGTGGTGTGCAAAGTGTGACCAGGATTAAGAAAGGAATGTTTCTGTGGTTTGGTCATGTGGAAAGAGTGACAATGCAAATTTATATTGCTTATGTGAATGGCAGAGTCGGGAAGGGACGCCCTAGAAGAAGGTTCATTGACCAAATTGGCGATATTTTGAAAATGGGTCACCTTTGGAGTACCCTTAACCGACGAGCGTGTATGTGTAGTTATATGGATGTGGAGGAGGCGAGAGAGTTGTTAGGATTGTGCCAAATGGAAGTCCGTAGTCTCTGCCTACCCCTCTGGGTGACGGGCGTGAGTTTATATTTTATATATATATATATATGTTCAATAACAGTCTGGGCTTGGACCACCAAAAAACAGTGCATGCAGTAGTGTGTTCTGGACTCAAGGATATATAGAGTCAGTATAATTACAGGCTGAGATGCATTCCATCCGCATCTGTAGATTTTAAAGTTGGTTTCAGGTGTCCATGACGTGGAGTAGCCACTAACCATGTTACTGACTTATTGTTAGTTATTTTATCACTGCAGTTGCATATACAAAAGCTAGTGATCGCCCCGGCTTCGTATGGGTGATTTCTATCTCAACAAGAGCACCACCTGCCAGTTCCAATTTTTAATATAAACGAATACAAGGTTTTTATGTGGTAGAGCCATGCTGCAGCTTTATTAGTAGTATAGTTGCAGTACAAGTCGGCTCGATCGGGGAAGGACCACACTCTCACAGAATACCAACATGAAATAGCGGCTCAACGCTGCTATATTTCGTATGGTGAGTGTAGAGAACCGAAGCCCCATTTTATTGGAAATGAGGAATTCCATCTTAGACTTCGCTTTCATCTTTGATTCGTAATCGAGGATAGATGTAGATGTCTATGGGCTACAACCACTTACCATCAGGTGGACTGTGTGCTCATTTGTCATGCTTTGTTCACGGAAGGGGTGGGTGCAAAATAAGCCCCCCAGGTTGTCTATAGATATCCGGTACTTGATTTTAGTAAGGTTTTTAGTTTAGGAGGCTTGTTAGGGTTAGGCTTGAACCTATTAAACTGTTTTTAGATGTCGAAAATGTGTTTCGAATTAATTACGATAAAAATAAATTTCTTGGAAACATTGCATGTGACGAAACACAAATTATTTTTTATATGCTTGGGTAACAAACAAGCATACAGTCCACCTGATGGTAAGTGGTTGCTGTGGCTCATAGATGTCTACATCTATCCTCGATTACAAATCAAAATGCATTTGTCACCCGTAAGGACTAAGATGGAATGCCTCGTTTCCAGTAAAAAGGGTCTCCGGTTCTCCACACACCCTACAAAACACAACAGCGTTAAGCTAATATATTAATTTTTCCGTATCTGTATTAAGTATTCTGTGAGAGCGTGGTCCTTCCCCGGTTGAGCAGACCCATTTGTGCTACAACTATACTACTAATATAACTGCAGCATGACTCTACCACGTATAAATATGTTAATTTGTTTTTTTTTTAACACCGATACACTCATAAAGAAGTTAATCACTTGAACCCAGACAATCCATTTGTGGTTGAAGACAGGACTCATATACAACAAATTTAGTTGCAGTGGAGAGCAGTCAAGAGGTTTTTCAGAAATCAAAACTGTAACATTTCACATTAGATTGTTTAATTTACCACTATCATAGCAGAGTTTATAGATAAGATTAGTCGAATCTGTTCTAAAACTGAATCAGCACACCCCGACTCCACATAGTCTCTTCTGCCATACCCCTAGAGTGTTTTTGTTAAGTCGCGGAGGGAGAACAGCCCTCGTCCGCCAAGCAAATTGCAAGCACCCATGAGAGCCGTAGCGGTTGAGGCAAGCATGCGGAGGTGAGCATGGGTGCCTGCGATTTGCTACGCAAGGGCGAAGGAGATACATTTACCGCTGCACCAAAGCCGTTGCAAAAGTAACTAGGTCAAAATACCTGTGTAAAAATTGAGGTTATGATTTTAAAAAAATCACTACTTATAAACTATACATTTCCGCAAGGGGGAAGGGTAGGGGGTATCAACTACCCACTTCATAATACTGTACCAAATTGACATATTAGTAATATATACAAAAGTTAAAGTTACAGCCTGTATACGTCCCACAGCTGGGCACAGTCCTATAATTTCCGAGGGTTTTAGGGCAAGGAGGTGTCCGACGCGCTGCCGCAATGCGTGTTAGTTATCGAACTTCACATGGCTTTAAAATATGTATTTCTTATTTCTCAGATATGCAGGTTTCCTCATGATGTTTTCCTTCACCGCCGAGCACGTAAAGTCACGATAAATCTGCACTTAAAATCGTAATTAACAATTTAATTGGTGCTGGCGGGGATCGAATCCGGGTTGCTCGCGTACTGTGAAATTTACAGCGGGCAGTAACCATCTGAGCTGCCAGGGCTCAGGCCTAAATATACTGAATGACCTTTTTTACCGTCTGAAAAAAAATAGGGTGTAACATGTGAAGGGAGTAGAAGCCTATGGCACTGATATTTTACAAAAAATTAAAACAAAAATTTTGAATTAAATAAAAAAATTAATTAAAATCTATCGAAATTCAAGTCATATCCAGCCTACTTTATAAACGCCAATAAAACAATAAATTTAGTAGGCATCTTTGACCTCGTCACGGTTAGAGGCTCAAGGGCAAAGTAATTGTTCAAAAAAATTTCTAAACATTTAATTCAAAAATTTTGTTTTTGTTTTTTGTAAAATATCGGTGCCATGGGCTTCTATTCCGTCCATATTTTTTTCCAGATGGTAAAAAAGTCATCTTGTATATAAAAATAACAAAACATTAAATAAATTAATACATCATATATCTCTTTACTAAATATCAATATTCTATGTTTTAGATTTAAGGATTGGAAAACATGGTGAAGTCCTGCTGTGTCGTGGGATGTGTTGCCAAGGATGTCACATACTTTAGGTAAGGACATCATCACCCAACCAATAAATAAGATTGTTGTTCTTTATACTATATTTATTACATCTTTATACCATATTATACTATATATATAAGTGATAAAAGCACACAATCTACCTGATGGTAAGTGGATACTGTGACCCGTAAACATCTCCACCTATCCGTGATTGTGTGCTTTGAAGGTCATCAAAGCCAGAGTTTGACAAATCAATCTCAAAATAATAATAAAAAATATAAATTGAGAGTATATGATATGCTGATGACCAGTGGTGAAAAGGTATGGAATTTGAATTGTAATTTAATGTTATCTATTTTTTTAGCATAAGGGTGACAAACGAGCACACAGTACATATATTAGTTACTGTGATGCATAGACTTTCTATCCCAGGGTGTCTATCATTTGCAAATCAAAATTGCGATGCGTTGTCACCCCTGAGGATTTAGATGAAAATGATGAAAAGCCTCATTTCTATTAAAAGGGGTCTCTGGTTCTCTACACTTGTCAAATGAGACACAGCAGCATTAAGCTGCTATTTCACGTTGGTATTCTGTGAGAGCGTGACCTTAACCTTGTCCTTGAGCCGACCCCTTTGTGCCACAACCATAATATAGCTGCAGCGTGGCAGCGGTGGTCTACCACATATAATATTATATCTAAGTAGGTATATTGAATTAAAAAAAATTCTATTCCTGATTTCACAGGTTCCCCAATAGTCGGACCCGATGCAAGAGGTGGATGGAGGCGATCAAACTGGCCTCCAAACCCTCGGACAAATCCATGGTGTGCAGTGCTCACTTTCACCCGGACGACTATGATTTTGTCAGAGGAAAAATCCGGTTAAAGCCGAAGGTAGTGCCTAGCATGATTCAGGTAAATCTAGACCTTCAGATAATAATACCCTTACTCCACTATGAATGAAATTTCTGAATAGTAGCACCTCCTTTTGCTGCATAGGTGTATGTGAGTAATTGTTTACATAGTTTTTTAAAATAGAATAAGGGTGACAAACGAGCACACAGTCCACCTGATGGTAAGCGAATGCTGTGGCCCATAGACATCCATATTTAACCTCAATTAAGAATTGAAATTCAGAGGCATTGTCACCCTTGAGGAGTAAGATGGAATGCATCAATTGCAGTAAAACGGGTCTCCGGTTCTCTACACTCACCATACGAAACACAGCAGTATTAAGCTGCTATTTTACGCTGGTATTCTGTGAGAGCGTAGTCATATTAGTAGCCGGCCGAGCCGACCCATTCATGCTACAACCGTGATATAGCTACAGCGTGGCTCTACCACATATAGAATGTAACTATACAGCCTCTATATGCCCTTCAGACTTGAACCACCACAGCAGTGCAAGCAAGAGTGTGGGTACCTATCTAGATAGTCTCCTTGGCTGAAGAGGACGTTATAGCTTGTTTTCTCTTTTAATGTTTGTCTTTCTATTCCACCTCTGACACTGGTAAGATACATTGTATAGGGAAACATTTTAGGAATATATTTTTTCCAGATTTTTTCTCTTAAGACGGGCTCAGTCTCATACATTTGCATACACCGGTGACCCTTTTATACATACTCTTATATTACATTAAAACTACTTAACATATTTTCTTATAGTTAATTACGTTTTTTCTCGAAATACTAGACTATTACATATTTTTCCTTTTGTTTGCATATTGCATGCCAAATTACATTTATTTCTTTCTGTTGCAACCTTATTTTTGCAAATAGTATGTATACAACATATATAGTCTTACAAAATTTTCTTACTCTATGTTCCTATATCTATCTTATTTCTATAACGTTAACTATTCTTTGATGTATGAAACGTTACAGCCTGTTCAAAGTTCACTGCTGCACATAGGCTTCCTCCATATTATGGAGTGTAGAAGTAAGGAGTACCAACTCCCGTAGTTAAATAGTTGAAAAGGTGGCCATCTGTAAGCAGTAAATAACAGCTCAAAAACTCCACAACAGCGCTGGAGTAGCTACTGGGATGAAATGAACTTAGAAGTTGTCGACGGTTTAAGTGTGGTGCTAAACTGCACAGTAGCTCTAAAATCTAAAATAATTTTATTTAGTAAATGTAACCTCGAAAAAGTCTATCTATCCCACTAATATTTTTCGGTGTGTTCTTTAAAATGTACCCCGTAGCTATGGTGGCGGCACCCTTATTTAACGGTTTTCTATGGACACTTTTTAATACACAATCTGCACTCCTTACTTCTACACTCCATACTCCATATATTGACTCATAGGAGAGGATATTTGCCATAGATATGTCCTTGGACAACCAGTTGCCAAATCGCCTGTTTGGCAACTGCTGTTTTTTATACTTTTTAGATGTTTTTGGGGAAGCCGCTGCTGCTCATCTCCTATTTGTTTCCCTCTGTCGCCTCCAGTTAACCCAGTTAATTTTTAATTGTGTAAAATGTGACAAAATTTTGTTAAATTTTATATGTGGATTTTTAAGCTATTGCATAGCTTCTATCGCGGGCCTTGAGCGTGGGCACCGAATCCAGAAATTTATTCCGCCGTAACGAAAAAACCTCACGCTCCCTACTCCGACGGGCACGGAGGTGTGGCTTGAAGGCGGCGTTGTCTAACGTCGTTTCTTTTCGGCAGTCTTCGACACGGTGTTTGTGTGCGTGCAACTAGACGTATTGTACGACTCTACGAAGCTCGCACGAATCGAGACGAGCTGCTCCGAAATCGGACGAATACATAAGCAGCTGTTTATGAGAAAGTATATAGGTGTATAGGTATTTATGTACAACAGTGAATAGCTGTACTTGTAAAATTTGTGTATAAAGTGTTTTGAATATGAATGAACAAAGTGCATTTATTATTTATTTATTTAATAAAAGAAAAACATTTGTTTTCTTATCGGTCACCACGCTCAAAAAGTGTAACTTGAATTAATATCAAAGAAAAAGAAATACTGCATAAATAAAATAAATAAATAATTATAATTGCATAAGTTGATACAAAATGCTATGCAATAGCTTTACCGCGGCAGTCCCCGAGTGCTACACGTCTTTTTTTTTTTACGTAGTAGAGCCATGCTGCCTATAGTTATAGTACGAATGGGTCGACTCTTCCGGGGATGGACCACGCTCTCACAGAGTACCAGCGTAAAATAGCAGCTACTGTTGTTTCGTATGGTGAGTGTAGAGATCCGGAGACCCTTTTTTACGGGAGACGTGGCATTACATCTTAATCCTCAGGGGTGACAACGCATCTGCGTTTTGATTCTTAATCGAGGTTAAATGTAGATGTCTATAGGTACAGCAACCACTTACCATCAGGCGGACTGTGTGCTCGTTTGCCACCCTTATACTATAAAAAAATCGCGTAAATTAAAAAAAAACACTTAATCGTAAATCATTTACATTCATTTACACTAATACTACACATTGAATAAAACTAAATTTACAGATTTTGTCGCTATTACTTTGACTTTTTTTTAATTGGCAATGTTTCTGATTGTAACATACGGTAGCCCACAAGACATATATATTAAATGAATTTATTAGAAGTAGTCTTATTAAAAATTAGAAAGAACATGTCTTCCCTCATTGGTACCTTCCAATTTCAAACCTTTCAAATTCCATTATAGGGTATAAGCACCAATCGTCACAGAGGACTGAGGTGTTTGACGAACCAATGCCACAGTAAACCGGGGCTACCTTCAATTTCTGGATAATTTTTTGGTCCGATCTACGCAGAATGAGCTTACTGTATCTTGAAGTCTTGCAGTGGTGTTGGGTGCATGGGTTTGGATGTAATTTTATTAATTGCCTTGCACGGGTGATTTCTGGATCTTGTAGCAGCCTCACCTACCGGGTCCATTTGTAAATCTGAAATAGCCAGCCATTGAAACATACATAAACTTCATCAAGATTGGTCATGCCGTTTAGAGAGGAGTTTTTTTTTATAGGATAGGGTGACAAACGAGCACACAGACCACCTGATGGTAAGTGGTTGCTGTGATCCATAGATATCTACGTCTATCTTCAATCAAGAATCAAAATGCAGATGCGTTGTCACCCGTGAGGACTAGGATGGAATGCCTCATTTCCAGTAAAAAGGGTCTCCGTTTCTCTACACTCACTATATGAAACAAAGCAGCATTAAGCTACTATTTTACGCTGGTATTCTGTGAGAGCGTGGTCCTTCCCTGGTCGAGCCGACCCATTCGTGCTACAACTATACTATTAATATAACTGCAGCATGGCTCTACCACGTAATGAATGTTCAGTGACAAACACACGAAAAGAAGAATTATATATGTCGGCACGTTTATAAAATACTGATATAATCGACAGTAAAAAGGTTTTACTCTAGCGAAGCGTCGTGTCTTTGGTAACGTGAAAACCATTGTTGTTTATAGGATTTTTGCAAAAAAAAAACATTGAACAGCGTACAATATATTTGTGATGAATTGCTAACGATCTGCTTATCTGGGGGCACGGCATTGCCCCCGCTAAGTCGAGCAAAAAAGCGGCAGGCCGTACCATACTTTTCTCGAAACAATGCAGGCCATTTTCGACCACCTATAACTTCGTAGTCAATAAAACTAGAAGCCTGAATTTTCAGTATCCGGGTAGGCATTGTATAAACATGGTGTATTTCAAATTTCATTTAATTTCATTCAGTAGTTTAAGAATTATAACTAGTCAAAATTTCTTAATTTTGTCACTCACTGACTGACCGATCATCAAAACTCTATGGCACTTCTAGCAGACATAGAAGCTTCAAATTTAGAATACAATTAGTGTTTAGTGTATAAATTAAGGAAAAACTAAAATATTTTTTAATTTCGGTTCAGTTTTCTAGATAGTGTATCTAGAAAACTGGATGACACTAAAAACTGCATAAATAACTTTGTAACCCCATATAAATATATAGAATTACAATGTTACATTTGCAGTGAATGAATCAGTGTACCTGTATATGTATAATAGGTAAGTTGTTAGTATTCAAGAAGTAGAAGGTACCGGAAAGGTAAAAAAGTAGAACTATCTTATCTACAAAAAGAAATGAGATGCCATCAAAAACATAACTTGTAAAAAAAAACAAGTCTCGCAGCTCAGTTCTTCTACCGTAAAAAGTTGTGAGATCCATGTAATACCAAGTCGGTTAATTTATTCGGTTCATATCAATGTTAAAAATATTTTATGTTTTAAATATATAGATTAACTTGGCCATCGCTTGCTTAGTGCAATCTAATTTAATATAATGTGTATTACTTGTGAGATACATTGTGTTTTCTCTTCTATATATTTAAAACATAAAACATTTTTAACATTCATATGAGACTATAAAATGTTGTTAGGTTAGCTAATTACATAATAACTTTAAACAGAAGGACCCTTTAGTAGGAACTGAATAAATTAAAAAAGTAAATTCTGCTGTGTTTCGTATGTTGAGTATAGAGACCCGAAGACCCTTATAACTGAAAATAAATTATGCCATATTTGTCCTCTGGAGTGACAAGGCATTTTGATTGTTAATTGAGGATAGATGCAGATGTTTATGGGCCGCAGCATCCACTTACCATCAGGTGGACATTTTGCTCTTTTATCACTCTTGTTCCTTAAAAAAAAACATCGGGACTTAAACGCCCCATGTGTCTTTACAGCTTTCACTCGAAATATCAGGAAAGAAAAATAATTCACATTTAACACCATAAAATCCCTAATGTTGGTTTTATTAATTTTAGCATAGTGTTTATTTTAAACTTACAGAGTGAACAACCAAAAACGAACCAAGCAAACTTTCGTCCCAGTAATAATACCCATAACAATGATGATCAGGAATACAGAATACAGTGTGACAGACTTGATAATGATGGCTCGAACAACAAGAATGATACAACATCACATAAAAAGAAACAAACACAAGAGAAGGAAATTAACAGGACAGGAGAGGATGTTAACATTTGTACAGGAAGATCAAGTATAGATAAAGCAAAATTGTTAGAGAGGTATAGTCATTTTAAATTATTATAAAAGAAATACTTTCAATAGCTTTCTTTAATATAATAAGGGTGAATTAAGAGCACACAGTTCACCTGAATGCTGTGGCCCATAGATATCTACAACTATCCTCGATTAAGAATCAAAAAGCAGACGCGTTGTCACACCTGACGACTAAGATGGAATGTCTCGTATTCAGTAAAAAGGGTCTCCAGTTCTCTACATTTACCATACGAAACATAGCAGCATTAAGCTGCTATATCTCACGCTGGTATACTGTAAGAGCGTGGTTCTACTCCGGTCAAGCTGATCCATTCGTGCTACAACCATATTATAGCTGCAGCATGGCTCTATCACGTATAATTCTAGTGTATAAACTGCCCCCACGATACAGGAGAAAATCTTGGTATGGAGGCAACGTTTAAAAAGGTATGTGTTAAAGCCATGCTGCTGCTATAATATGGTTTTAGCACAAATGAGTTGTCTAAGGGAAGGATCACGCTCTCACAGAATACCAGCGTATAATAGCAGCTCAACGCTGCTGTGTTTCGTATGGTGAGTGTAGAGAACCGGAGACCCTTTTTACTGAAAACGTGGCATTCCAGCTTGGTCCTCGTGGGTGACAATACACCTGCATTTTGATTCTTAATGGAGGAAGGATATAGATGTCTACCATCAGTTAGACTGTGTGCTCGTTTGTCACCGTTATTCTATTAAAAAAATACTTGTCTACTAGTATTGTATCCTCACCTATTGGATCTTTCAGTGTCACAGAAACGGTGAAACCCAGTTTGAACACTGAGATAACAATAACAGAAAAAGATGATATAGAAGATATACTGACATACTTCCACATAAAGCAGAACAAGCAGGTCGTTGAGCGACAGGACGCAGAATTACAGAGGGAAAAGAACAAACAGGAGAGTGCAAGAGTAATCGGAGAAGAAAGAGATGTCAATGGTGTGATTGATTTGGCTTCGTTTGAGACGGAGGCCAAACCTGTGTTTATAGAGATATCTACGGATCAAGGTAATGATTTGTAATATTAGAGTGAAACCATACTGCGCAACATCATTGTGGAATTTCCATCACATTTCGTAATTTGGAAGACGCTACAGCTTGAATGGGTATTGACTCGACCAGGAAAGGACCACAGATCATTTGACGCTGGTATTCTGTGAGAGTGTGGTCCTTCCCCGGTTGAGCTGACCCATTTGTACTACAACTATACAATTAATATAGCTGCAGCATGGCTCAGAGCCGTGGTGGCTCAGATGGTTAGCACTCGCTGTAAATTTACAGAACGCGAGAAAACCGGTTTCGATCCCCACCGGCACCAAGGATATTGTTAACTGCAATTTAAAGTGCTGATTTACCACGTGCTCGCCGTTGAAGTAAAACATTGTGAGGAAACCTACATGTCTGAGAAATAAGAAAAAAGAAGAATTCAGAGACATGTGAAGTTCGCCAACACGCATTACTTACGTGGTAGAGCCATGCTGTAAAAGTAAAGTTACAGCCTATATACGTCCCACTGCTGGGCACAGGCCTCTTCTCATTTCTGAGAGGGTTTTAGGTCAAGGAAGTGGCCGCCGCGCTGCCCCAGTGCGTGTTGGCGAACTTCACATGTCTTCGAAATATTTTTTTTTCTTATTTCTCAGACATGCAGGTTTCCTCACGATGTTTTCCTTCACCGGCGAGCACGTGGTAAATCAGTACTTAAAATTGCAATTAACAATTTCATTGGTGCCGGCGGGGATCGAACCCGGTTTGCTCGCGTATTGTGAAATTTACAGCGAGCGCTAACCATCTGAGCACCACGTAAGTGTCTGTTTGTAATGCCATAATTTTTGTTCGTCTGTCGGTTTAACTGTCTGTTCAGTCATCAGTCAGTCACTATTCCGATGATATCCCGATGACTGTCTGTTGATTCTGGCTAATCTCGGAAAGGGCTGGATCGATTTTATGGATTTCACTGCTGCAGCTGATGTTATGAGGACTAACTTAGGTAACTTTTATTTTAGAAAAGGAATTAGGGTTCTACGCAAAATATTTAAACCCAATGAAATCCAATCGTAATAAATTCAAATTCTGACGAAGTCGCGGGGAACAGCTAGTCTGTTTATAAATCATTTTTTAATGGAATACAGATTACAAACGAGCACACAGTCCACCTGATGGCAAGTGAATACTGTGGCCCATAGACATCCACATTTAATTTCGATTAAGAATTAAAATGCAGATATGTTGTCACCCCTGAGGACTAAGATGAAATGCCTCATTTCCAGTAAAAAGGGTCTCCGGTTCTCTACACTCACCATACGAAACACAACACCATTAAGCTGCTATTTTAGGCTGGTATTCTGTGAGACCGTAGTCCTACCCTAGGAATCCAGGCCAGGTCGGAAGACCAAAATATCTACAAATTTGTTGAAAAACTCGGGATTTCGGGGTTGTAGTTGGATAAATAAATACCTATAAAATAAAAAGTTTATTTTTTAAATTAATAAAGACTACAAAAAAACACTTAACATTGTTGACAAATATCTAATTTAATTACACTTAAGTTTTAGGTTGCCGACTGGACTTTACCGACTCCAACAAATTGGAAGTAGCAGCTTAATGCTGCTATTTTACGCTGGTATTCTGTGAGAGCATGGTTTTTTCCCGGTCGAGATGCTTTATGCTACATGCTACATCCATAATATAACTGCAGCGTGGCTCTACCACGTATAAAGATGAATTGTTCTGTTGAATTACTTAGAACAAATGACAAACACAACTGTTAATACTACATCAGTATGTTAGTACTGATAAACGTTAAAGTTTTATACTATCAGTGTTAGTAAAATCACACTGAATATACAACATGTAGACCTTTCATTCCTGTTGAGTGCGTTATCAGAATCAGTATTCAAATGTATAGAAATAACTGACGGCTCCGTGGCGCATGGGTTAGCATTGAGTGACTGCGCTGAGGGCTGCGGGTTCGAATCCCGCACGGAACAAGTATTTGTATAGCCTACAAGTATTTGTTCCGGGTCTGAATGTTTGTCCTTGTGCAATTTATGTTTTTAAACTGCCTCCACGATGCATGAGAAAATCCTAGTGTAGGGGTAACGTTTAATACTTTGGAATAATGAAACATAATAAAATTAAATAAACTTCGAATAAATTTTTAGTTGTTAATTATATATAGGTTTATTACTAATTATAGTGGGTTAGAGTAGAGTCAATGATTCCGCTTTACTGTGCGTGTCATTTAGTTCAGATGTGAATAACATTTTATCAGAAGAGTGAATTTAGTAAGACAAAAAAAACTACACTCATAAATGCCATACCTTTAAGTATATCTATACATCCCTAAAAGGATCACCGGGTAGTTTGTTACATACTTTATACAAGTATTTGCGTATTTTAAGAGCAAGTCACACAGTCTCCCAGAATACCAAAGTAAAATATGTGTGTTTCGTATGGTGAGTGTAGAGAACCGGAGACACTTTTTACTGGAATCGAGGCATTCCATCTTGGTTCTCACGGGTGACAATGCCTCTGCATTTCGATACTTAATCGAGGGTAGATGTAGATGTCTATGGGCCACAGCATTCACTTACCATCAGGTGGACTGTGTGCTCATTTGTCACCCTATCCTATAAAAAAAAGAGGTAAAATCTCTAGGACGAGAAACGTCAGGAGCGTGTGATTACAGCGAACAAGACAATTTGGGACAGTTAAAAATCTAATATATTCGGTTCTCTTTGTATTTCACATTCCATCCGAGCCAGTGATAAAAGTAAAAAATGACTCAATAAAATTACTTGTAATCTATATTGTTACGAGCTTGAGGTTCGTGACAATAAAAACTGCCTATTGAATTATCAAAATTTACACTTTAATTACGGAACACTAGTTACAACTTAAAACACACTAATAATAAAACACAATTGTACTACTGATCATTTTAGTTTGCAGTTGTATCGCTTCTAAGTGTTCGCTTGTATTGTCAATTCAATACTGCCTCGGTCGCTCTCACCGGTCTTATATAGGGCCTTTCCTACTGAAACATCTAGAATGTTCGAGTACATACCGGTCCCGACTGACTAGGTGTAGAAAGTTCTAGTATGGAATTTTCTAGAAAGCTCTCCTAGTTCTGCTACTCGATACTAGATGGTGCTGGTGGTTACTTGCAATGTATCAGGCATTAATTATGGCGCTCAAGAATATTAAATAAAAACATTCTATTCTATAAAGAGGGAAGTAAACTTACTAGAAAATCAATTATATTTGATATATTGATGTAAATGTCTATAGTTTCCATTCCTCTACAGATAAACCGAACGGCAGGGGTTCTGGGAGTCCGCGTGATTGTCTGATGGTGCTCGAAAGTGTCCAAGTGGATTTGGACCCCAGTGAACTGATGCTGCCGGATAAGAGGGAAGAAATTGAAGAGGACGAAGCGGAGGCGATTGTGATATGTGATAAGTGAGTGAACCAAGATTAGAGTCACTGTTTCACAATATATTTTATACATGGTAGAGCCACACTGCAGCTATATTATGGTTGTAGCACGAATGAGTCGGCTCGACCGGGGAAGGACCTCGCTCCCACAGAATACCAGCTTAATTCTGCTGTGTTTCGTATGGTGAGTGTAGTCGATGGAGAGCTGAGTAGAAAGTTTTTTAACTATTTATTTATGTATTTACTATGTGTGAAGAAAGAAGAACTGTGATAATTTATCTGAACTGAGAAACTAGCTTTACTATTTAACTGATTAAAGAAACTATGTGGCTAGGGACGCTACAAATAAACAATTCACATTACTAATATTCCCTGTAACCACTCCTGGTAAGCTTAAGATGCTTGTGTTAGGAGTGGTTTACGACAGTAGTCGAATGGCGGATTCGAACCCACGACCTTTTGAGTTTGCGGTCCGTACCTCCTAATCCTAACGCCTATAGTACATGCCAAATCGATTGAGAAAAATGGGCAATTACCTTTCGTCGTTTAACCAGGGGCTACAAACCTTCAATATATAGGGACTTTTTATATGTAGTAATTTCTTTATTTATAATGTTTTTTTTTATAATGATTGATATAATATATATTTATTAACTATTATTAAAAAGTTATGTAAATGATCGCTGTAGACGAAAACTCATCTATTGTTATAAAGTACTTTATTCATTTAACAACAAAAAGCATTAATTTATAATACATATAAAGATTCGAGTGATAACTACACCAAATAAGTACGTTCTTATTCAAAAGATAAAACTTTATTTTCAATATTATATAAGAACTTTATTTTTATTCGGTGCATGCGGACCAGCCCAAAAAAGTGATGCATTTCTGGCTGCCATTGTCACGTTACTTTTGGAACGAACTGACTTAACGTGCGTTTTGTTTATTTTAAAGGGATGAATTTGCAAAAGCTCAATATGGTGATTATATTGCTTTAAATATTTTTTTTAATATGAAACTGTTATTAAATGAATTGCTGCGTTACTTACCATAAATTGAAATATAAAATATAACACATTTTCCGCGATGTACCGTAACATATTACGATGTTTATAGAAACTACAGACAATATTATTTAAGAAACAAAAAAACAAGACATATGTGCTGACCTAGAAGTGTGGATAATATCAATATTTAAATATTGTTATCACATCTAAATTGAAATTTTGTAAGTTACGCCTTTTGACACTCCGCTTATATCTGAGGTCATTCTCCGTTTTTCTCAATCGATTTGGCACTAACTATAATAGGAGAGCTTGAAGGGTCTTCTTTTCTTGTTGTTTTCTGGAGCGCTGCCGCGTCTGCCGCGAATGCCGGACGCCGGCCGGGGGCTTCAGTTTTATTCCAGCGGCCGGGGTCGCGCTGACGCCGAGTTCGCATAAGCACCCGCGGGGGGACCGAGCTCTGGTTGGTTGCGCGGTTCGTTGTTTCGCGTTTCAGTGCAGAGTTCAGGAGACGTAGTGTAATTGCATGCTAGGTGATTAGTCCTACGGGGTCACATCTGAGGTCTTGCCTTTTCTTTAAGTAAAAGACTAAAGACCTCTGCCAGCTTTACGAAGAAGATGAAAAATATAATGTGCTCAGTATTTGCTACCATTCATAAGAGGATATTGTGAAATTCTGCCAACCTAACAGAAGCCAATTTATAATAGTAGACAGCAAGAGGGAGAGTGAGTAAACCTACATAGATTATATTTTCATTACAGGCCCGATGATCTGATCAGCCTACTAATCGTGGATAGATATAAATGTTTATAGGCCCAGCATCCACTTTTTTATAAAATAAGGGTGACAAACAAGCACACACTCCACCTGATGGTAAGTGGATGCTGTGGCCCATAGACATCTACATTTATCCTCGATTAAGAATCAAAACGCAGATGCGTTGTCACCCCTGAGGACTAAGATATAATGCCTCGTTTCCCGTAAAAAAGGGTCTCCGGTTCTCTACACTCACCATACGAAACATAGCATCATTAAGCTGCTATTTTACGCTGATATTCTGTGAGTGCGTGTTATTGCCCCAATCGAGCCCACCCATTCATGTCACAACCATAACATAGCTGCAGGGTAGTTCTACCACATGTAAAACCACTTACCATCAGGTGGACTGTGTGTTAGTTGTCAAGCTTATTCTATATAAAAAACAATCCGTTTCCATTTCAGGCCCGATGACCCGATCAGCCTGCTCACCTCGAGCGACGAAGATGATGTGATAATCCAGGAACCACACATCGAAACTGTCGAGGTGTCCGACGAAACGGACGAGGACGATGTGCCTCTAGTCAAGCTGGTAAAGACCAAGTCGAAAAAGAAGAAGAAACGCCTGAACCCATTCTTCAGGAAGAGCAAGTGGGGCGATTACCTTTACAACTGCACGGAGTGCCAGTACAGAAGCGACAACAAATTTGAGTATGAGGAGCATGTTACGAAGCACTCCACCGTGATCCACATGTGCCACATTTGTGAATACATCACGGCCAGCAAGGCTCTGTTCACTAATCACCAGAAGAAACACAAAGAAGATAAGTGCTACGAGTGCCACCTCTGCGGCTACAAGGCCAGGCACAAATTGAGCCTGACCTACCACATGAAGTCACACAACAGTGTTGGTGATTGTGTTGAAAGTGTCAGTGAGCGTGAAATTCCCAAAAGTAACAGTGAAAGAACTAAACGGAGAAGGTCGAGACGTAAGGAGCCTAGTGATGTACAGAAATTAATTTGTTCTTTGTGCGGTTACTCGACTAAGTCAAAAACGAACCTTAAAAATCACAACAGTGCAAGGCACAAAGTTAACTACAGTTAAAGATTTTGAGGGTACTTTTTTTGAGTACTGATCCGTCAATGTGATAGTCGGAGCTTGTTTGTGAGGTATATAGGTATATAGTTTTTAAGTAATGGCTGTGCCAAGCTGTGGGATGTTGAGGCTATCACCTTCATTCCAACTTTAATGTGAGTTGTATAATTGGTATAAGGTACGTGAGGGTTATATGATCACCTTAAGCTTTGCCATCCTACACAACCAAAACTAGGAAGACAGAGAAAGTCAAAATATTAAAGGCAAAAATGAGTTTATTTCCCAGTTTAAAAATGCAGCACAAAATGTTAAAAATGTAAAAAAATATAAATAAAACGAAGTATGTCATAAATTTAAAAAAATACTTAATAACTAATATATTAAGAAAAAACTGCAAATAAGCCTTAACTAATAGTTAAGGAACACTTCGAAAAATCAGCAACAACAATTAAACAAACTTCTTATTTTTAAAGTGAAATGGCTCTATTGTTTAACTGATGATACTCTGCCAATGTTAAGATTGAGAAATACAAGGGAATATTTTACAAAAAACGAGAGAAAAATATTTAATGACCCTATTTACTATGATGTCAACTGTCAAAATGCCTTCGATAAAGCAGCATCCTTTTGACCCTTTATTATTTGATTGACCGATAAAGAGCTATCATATCACAGAGCCATCAAGGCAAACAAGGCTGTAGTTTTTTAGTTATAAGAAAGTGAGCATAATAATCGGATGATTATTTTGTATATATTTATTTTATGTGATTTTATTAACTCTAACAATAATAAACTACAATTTTGTTTGTCAGATTATCATATAATAACACATTAGTATCATTCTTTAGATGTGGTAGAGCCATGCTTCAGCTATATTATGGTTGTAGCACGAATGGGTCAGCTCGACTGGGGAAGAACCACGCTCTCACAGAATACTAGCGTAAAATAGCAGCTTAATGCTGCTGTGTATCGTATAGAGTGTAGACATCCGGAGACCCATTTTTTTTAGCAATCGAGGCATTCCATCTTAGTCCTCAGGGGTGACAACACATCTGCGTTTTGATTCTTAATCGAGAATAAATGTTGATGTCTATGGGCCACAACATCCACTTATAATCAGGTGGACTGTGTGCTCGTTTGTCACCCTTACTCTATAAAAAAAACATTGTCTGTGTTTTGTTTTAGGTAATTCAATGAATAAGTTGACCAAAATCAATCACATAATATTTTTGTTACACTTTCTTGTATAATCAATTTCCCTTTTTTATGCAGTTTGTGTCCCAATTAAACCTTTTCGTCATAACCGCCTTAAAGGAAGATGAAGTACTGGATGACCATATTACCCTCACGTATACTAGTTCACATTTTCAAGCTTTGTAAGTGCATAAAATGTTTTTTATATATTGTATGACTATTGGTCCAGTGAAACTAATAGAAATGTGTATAAGGATTTCTTATATTTAAGCCAATACAGTTTTTAATTTCCTGAAGTTTCGGGTGCTTTACAGCGCCCATAGTCACAAGAGGGAACTAATGTGTTGGACGTCCAGATATCATAGTTAACGAAGGCTATTTTCAACTTTTAAATATTCATTTTTCGTCCGATATATGCAGAACTAGATTGCAGTATCTTACAGATGTTAGCACCCAGCCATTTTCCATTGAAATTAGGATATTTTTTGATTTCAATAGCCTTGTATATGTGGTATATAATAACCTTGGTATAAGTGGGTGTTCTTTTGCGAGCATTTGTGGTATATCAAATCTGATGTAATGGGGTGGCCTTTTTTTTTTTTGTTTTTTTTTTTTTTTTTTTTTTTTTTGGTTCCCGCCCCTTTCTTTGTTTGTTGGGACGATCTTGGACTTGTTGACATACTGCAGACTTCCTGGAGTGGGATTGAGCGGGCTTTTATAGATCTTTTTGTTTGTGCTATGTAAGAGAGACCACATTCACAATCAAGCTTTTACACTCCTGCATCTTGCAGTGGGCCATTACACTTGCGGATGGTAAGAATTGACTAATCTTCTTCTGGTTATTTTTGGGTTCTTGTATAATTGAAAAATTAAATCTAATTCCAAAATACTATTGCAAGATTTCGATATACTGTAAGCTCGTTCTGTATAAATCAAACCATAAATTAGTATTTAAAAATTGAAGGTAACCTGGCTAACTACGATATTAGCACGTCAAACGTCTCAGTCCCCCCGTGACCATGAAATCTGTATAGCGCCCGAGAAAACTGGAATTAAAATGTTAAAATTTAACACTATGTTGATTACTTCATACGTGGTAGAGCCATGCTGCAGCTTTATATTATAGTTGTAGCACGAATGGGTCAGCTCGACCGGATAAGGACCACGCTGTGTTTCATATGGTGAGTGTAGATATTCGGAAACCCTTTTCTTACTGGAAACGAAGCATTACATATTAGTCCTTAGGTGTGGTAATGCAACTGCGTTTTGATTCTTAATTGAGGATAAATGTAGATGTCTATAAGCCACAGCATCCACTTACCATCAGGTGCTCGTTTGTTACCCTTATTATACAAAAAATACTATCTGTAAAAATTAGTTTCATTTAATGTGTAGTGTTGGCGTAAATATAAACATCAGTCTATATTAACGCCAACTAAACACATTAAATGAAACTAATATTTTGTTTTAGTGGATGATGTCATTTATTGGTCATTAATTTATTATTATAGCTCTACCTAGAGTTCGTTATTTTAGGTAGGCCTCACCGCGTGATGTTGAATTTTTACTATAATTTTCATCGATTACTTATTTTTTTATATATATATATATATATATATATTATATATAAATATAATTAACTCTTCTGACTGGGCACATAGCACATAAATACATAGTTGTAGGTAATATAAATAAATTATTTTTTCATTGTGTATATCATCATACACATATATCAATCATACCTACATATGAGACTCGATAGGTCTCTTTGCCTTTGTAGTTAAGTATATCTACCTACCCATCAGATCTTTCGCGTGCTGTATTGGCTTGATTGCTTTTCAGACACACAGTTTTTAAATATTATGATACCAATTACTCGTTAATTATAACGAGTAGGTATGTTACACCATTGTACCTCCATATATGTACATAAAGCGTCCTGTACTTTGAAGGTAGATCGTCAAAAAAGTAACTTTTATAAACCTGTAGTGAGTAAGGAACCTACAGTGCACCTGATGGTAAGTGGTTACTGCAGACCATGGACACTTGCAGCCAATAACACACAAAGGACATTATAGATGCATTGTCACCTCTGAGGACTGAGACGGAATGCCTCTACCTGTAATTATACAGGCTCTATACCCTTCAAAGAGGAACCCCGTATTGTAAGCAAACTGCTATTAGCACCCATACCCTATCCGGACAGACTTCAAGTCAAAATTGGAGTCCTACCACATGAGTAGATAAATGGAACGGAGATAAAATTTCATACAACCGCACGAATCGGTTGCACTACTACAAGCACGCGGGACGTGTGTGCGTGACCACTGGCCGCTTGTCGCGTACGCGGCGAGACCGGAGAAAACTGATTACGCTGGCACAGCCAGTTGACAAATCTCAGGGTCAGTGCGACGCACGTTGTTTGTTTTGTTAGTTGCAATTTTAAATATTTTAATGTAAAAACGTGGTATTATTAATAATGGTTATTTATTGTACTGTGTGTGTGAATAATGCTAGAAAAAATAAAAACATATAATAAATATATCATTACTTATTCGATTATTACTTTTTCAAGTACCTTTATTTTATTGTATGATCCTTTTTTTACTAAGAGGAGGGTACTACACGGTGTGTTTTTACCTTTTTATTGTTATTACAAGCTATTACTAAACATTTGTAGTAGGTATGTTTGCTGAGTTTGTTTTATTTACTTTGTCTTCATTTTTATATATCATTCACTTTTGTGACAACCAGACCAAAATAAGTACCAATTTGCATATTCTTAAGAAGCTTTGTCTCTGTTCCGTTTATATACTCATGTAACAAGGTCCTAACACTTGATTAATCTTGAATGCTGGCAGAATTAATTAGTTGTTGCATTACTAAAAAAAATCAGTGTGCGTTCAGTGCAATTCTACTGCATTAGTTTTGTAACGTATAAAAACCAATTGCTGTCTGTTTGTCTCGCTAAAACGACTCAAACGATTGCGGTGAAATTTTTTTGTGTGCCTGGGGATGTTGTATGGTTTAGATTCACAAATGGACCCGGTAGGTGGCGCTACTGTCGATATAGAGAAATAACCCGTGCGTCGTAGCCGTAGCGGATCGCTAGTTTTTGTAATATTTAAAGTAAAACTTCTTTAGGCACGCTTGACTTGGGGAGTAAGCTGGTGAACGCGTCTCGAAAGTGTTACGAAAAGTGTGATCGGGCACGGCGAACGGGAGTTGAGTGGAGGATATAAGCAATAGAGAGCAGTGCGCGTACACATTTTCTTACTCTCTTTCTCTCATAGCCAGTTACGTTTCGTTTATCTAAGCACAGTGCAGGCCTATTGTCTGTATCACAGTGTATGAGCAAGAGAGAGCAGAGCAGTGCGTGCGCACATTTTCTTTGTCTCTTCCTATCATAGTCAGTAAATGTAATATGTATATATCTCAGTCAGTAGTCCGTTTGCGAGTTTACGAGCGTTTCGCGAACGGTGATTCTTTGGTAATTTTTCGTAATTTTATGTAGTTTTGAGCAATTTTATGAATTAATATTTTGTTCAATACATTAAATATTCTACGTTTAAAGTGAATAAAAACAAATTATGGAAGGAAGCCGATAATAAATTTAAATATTTGTAGAAAATTAATGTATTTACTACGAGCTAAAGAAGTTTTACTTCAGTCGTGTAATAATAAGCACACTCGTTTTTTTTTTTGTAATATTGAGGCGCTGGTCGCATTGAACTCTGTAAATATTGTGTAAGTCAATGAATTTGTGAATAGATCTTGATTCAAAACCACATTTTGATTTTTATTGCAACAGTGGT